AATTTCCATTGTTTATAGTAAAATGACAACTTTGAACCTTTACAAAAATTTTTTTTACTAATATAAATGAAAAAAACTCTCCGACAGTTCCTTAATTGAGCATCTCAAATACAATCGTGGAAGGACTATTCCAACAGCTTCCTTGGTTATTGAGCCTTTACATTTTAAAGTTTAAATAAATTTCCATTGTTTATAGTAAAATCAATAAAATTGATAACTTTGAACCTTTACAAATAATTTTTTTACTAATATAAATGAAAAAAACTCTCTGACAGACCCTTAATTGAGCATCTGCAAATACAATCACGGAAGGATTATTCCAACAGCTTGCTTGGTTATCAAGCCTTTACATATTAAAGTTTAAATAAATCTTGATGATATATATGTGTAACATTAAAAATCCGCACAGTAATTTTCTATATTGACCTGAACTATGTTTGATGATCAACCATTGTGACCAACCCCAATAACATACATATCAAAATTTTCTTAAATCCTTATCATCATACCCTAATGACTGGAAATTTTTTGAATGGTCAAAAGATGGTTGGTGATAATGCAATACTGCTAAATATAAAATAAATTATGCAGATTAGTCAAGAGATGGCTGATAAATAATCAAAATATTTTAAATGATTACAAGTTGGAGCAGTGATAATCATGAAAATTATTGCAAAAGATAAAATATCTGAGGGAAATTGAAATGATTTTATTTTAGTCTTTTATAATAATAGTAATAGTAATAGTAGAAATTGCATGTAGAATCATGTTCATTTTATTGTGGTAAATAAATTTATTTTGAATAGCTTTTTTTTGAACTAACTTTAAAAGATAAAAAAAAAATTATAATCTAATCTCAGCCTTTAATCATATATATAGTTAATAAAAACATATGCAATTATCAAATTTCATTTTTGTCATCTTTCAAAATTTTCATCAGAGAATAATAAAGATCTAAGAATTATTTTAAAATTGTTCAGTTTTAAGCTTTAACATTGTTAGTGGTCTTGAGTTTTTTTGGTGTAGTTTGTTCTTCATGCTCAATTATTAAAATTTTATTTTCAGAAAACTTTTCTTTTTCTGCTCTATCAATCATCAATTTATAAATTGCCATTGATTTTTTAACAATTCTATATAAAAAAAATAAACATTAGAACTTAACATAAACTTTAATGAATTAAAAATATTTACTACCTTTACTTGTAAAAGGACATGAGCAATTTTCAATATTTTATCCAGTTCATTATATGAAAGTGATATAAAATATTTTATACAGCTTAACATACACAAAATAGCCAATCAAGATAATAGCCTCCCACATTCTCATCATTCTTAGTGCATCTTCCTGAGAGGCACATGATACAATCTCACCACTTATTTATTTGAGAAAATTTGTAAACAACATTAATCCAGGGTTGGCAAATGTGCAGTCCATTGATGGTCTATTGGTGGTCCATTGGGTCCATCAGTGTAACACTTTAACCATATTTAGTATTTTATTAATGGCAATGGACCATCCAAAATCCATCTGTTCTCAATGGACCAGTCAATTTGCCAACCCTGCATTAATCAATTAACATGACCAGGAAAAAAAATATAGCTTACAAATGCCAGTCCATGCTAAACATGAAAATATCTATATCTCTTTCTGAATTTTTTCTTTTTGGAATTCCTTTATTCCTTTATCAATCATTTTACATCTGATAAAAATAAATTCAAATTTAAATGAACATATAGAGTCAAATATGCTATATTAAAAATATATCAATATTGTGTGTGCCAACTTACATGAATCTAATTAGATCATCAATATTGTCTGAACTGGTGCTGTCAATAGGATCATCAAATAAATATATTTCAAATTCTTCATTTTTAGGCCTGCTTAAAATTTTTTTTAGTTCTCTTATAGCTCCCAAAGTTCCTTCTGGTGAAACCTTTTCTCCTATTAATTGGTGTTTGTTGATGCTTAACTAAGTATGAAAGTATGTTGATATAATAATATTGTAAATTTCACACTCAATAGTGGATAAAACATAAATCAGTTTGCATAAAGATTACTTTGGATAGTCCATTCAAACAAATATTGGCTTGATATTTAATGTTAGTCCAATCATTTAATGGTGTACCAACTTCAAGTGCTTCAGGAAAAATTTGTTGAAATCATTTTCATCGAGATATTCACTTGTTACTTTGAAATCAGTAGCATCCAAGATTCTCCACCAAATTGTTCTTTTTTATTTTAAAAAGAATTAGTTATAATAAGCCCTTTTATTTAAAAAAAAAATTTTTATAAAACATTACTTTGTAAGTTGATGAATTTTTGAATAATCCTAAGAAAATATTGTCTGTGAGATTCCAAAAGGTGATAAAAATTATCAAAGAACTTGCAAAAATATATAAAAATAAAATAAATGTACCTGCTGACAATTTTGAGAAGATGATAATAAGTCTTGAGGAAGCATTAAAGGTCTTGAAACTGTACACGCATTTTTATTACAGCAAGAAAATGCTAGCAAACAAATAAAATTGGTTAATAAAATTGAAAGATATATCAATATAAAAAAAGTAACTTCATAAAAAACTAACTACAATGTGTCAATTTTTTTAACAATTTTTTTTTTTGAACATTTTAGATAACACTACAATAGTTTGTATTTAACTTTGTACAGCCAAGAGATTTGATTTTCCTATATTACCTCACTTGTATTTTCATATTTTCTGTAAATAATAACATATTAGTAAGCAAATATCTATTTATTTTTAATATTACAATTCTTTTCATACCAATATATTGTTAACATCATTGACAGCAACACAAACATTTTCAATTGTTTTTTCAAAAGTTTTTAAGGGGGTTACACACTATTAAAACAGCAAAAAAACCTTGATTTTAATAGTGTGTGACCCTGTGTGACCCCTTATGATATTCATGAATACAAACCCTACTTCAGTCTGTAGTCAAGTAAAAATACAGTTAGTGTTTGGCCTAACTTTGTTAGAACGAATAAGGAAATTAGTAACAACTTTTGCAGTCTGTAACTGATCTTGTAGCTGTTGTTTCATTTCAATTTCACTCCAAAAACCTCAACATCACAAAAATATTTACAATGACCCTTAAAAAAGTAAATGATTTAGCTGGTTTAGTATGATACAATAAAAAGCATGGCAAAGGTATCCACAACAGAGATGCAGTCCATAAGGTGGCATGGTACAGGTGCCACCCCTAGTTGTGTGGGTTTTTTTTTCCCACAAGAAAACCATGATAGCTTTATTGCAGTAACAATGTGCCTTCAGAGAGCCAGGGTGCATCATAGCCTTGAAAATACTCATTAATTGCCCAGCAGCCTTTTTTGAACTGTCAAATTTATAAAGCATCAACTGATAAAGATCTTTTTTTTGTGAGACTCCAATACAAAGGTGGATGTGAAATTGAATTGTTTTGATCGATACTTATAATAATCTAAAAAGCAATACTCATCAGTCTCATCAAAATATGTAGTCCAGTTGGAGGTCATTGTTGATAACAATAATTGCAGATAATCAATAAATTTTTAAAAAAAGAGATCAAGGAGTAAAATAGCAATGAGCATAAATTTCTAGCAAATTCAATATTTTTGAATTAGGATTTTTCCATATGTGACAAAATTAGTAGTTTCACCATAAATGAAAATTTCTTACAGGTAAAGATAATTCTGAAGCCCAAGGGTTGCAAAATCTTGATTTTAATATAGGAATCTCAATTAGTAACAAAGTTTGGAATAATAATTTCATATTACTGTTAACAATACTATTTTACATTACAACCAAATAACTGCTACTAACAATTTTTATGATGATAAGAATCTTGTTAATATAGATCCATTGATTCAAAAAAATAAAGATTCAGACAGGGTGAAATCATTGATGATAAATCTGATCTTTCAGAACAATAAGAGACAAGCTAGTAGTAGGTCAAATTTTTGGCAACAATTCAAGGTCATTGTGATCTTAATAACAAGACCCCATAAATGAATCAACTATTGGGGATAAAAATCAAATAGTAGAATTAAAAAAAAATTAAATGACTCACAATAAATAAAACAACTGAAATTAACAAAAAAATATCAAGAACAATGTAATAAAATGAAGTTTTTATGAACCAATAAAATTCTCAATTTAGTGATAAGCAAGGATGCCTTGAAGTAGTTACAAGAATTGTGTTAACTATGAATCAGGTAATTTTATTTACACTATAACTGACAATAAATTTAAAAACTTATTTTTTAAAGAAAATAAAACTGACAATTGGGTATGGATAATAGAAGCAAAGTAAATGCTATGTTAAGGTCGATTTTGAGCTAGTGGTATTTTTATTGAAATCCATCACAAATTAATTTTGGTTCAGGAAGTTAATAAATTATTTGAAATGTTGATTGTCTTGTTTCTGTGGTTCATACCCCAATTCCAATTTTGTGAGAAACCCAGAGATCACAAAAGAATGAATTAATTCGTGTTTCACGAATAAAGGAAAGAACTTAATTAGTGCCGATCAGGGGAAAAAATTTTATTTTCATATTAAATTAATTTGGTCAATTTTTTCGCCCCACAAAAAGTCACGCATTTATTATGTTACATATATTATCTTTTATATCCAACTATGTTAAACAAATGTGAAATA